CCCCCTGGTTATAAGCCCAATAGTCTAGTAACACAAATATCCTTCCAGTTATAAGCCCCCTGGTTATAAGCCCAATAGTCTAGTAACACAAATATCATTCCAGCTATAAGACCCCTGGTTATAAGCCCACTTGTCTGCTAACGCAAATATCCTTTTAAAAAGATCTTCTTTATCCCTTCCGGGTATAAAACCACATGAATATATGAACCCACGGTGTTACTTTGGTCATTTTGATGATATTGAAAGTTTATCAGTCCAAGAAAGATTGGCAGCTAGTATTATCGAGAATAGTATATCACTATAACACGATTCTTTTGCCTGTTCTAACAGATGGAATATCACTTCGTGTCTCGATAGTGAGCGTTTAATATCAATCACGCCACAACCAATCAGATTTAAGCTTTGTTATCTTGGTTGCTTTGTAATCTTGAGGTCCTTATCGACTCAAACCCAAAAATAAAAAGGCATGTCAGTCCTCAAGTACTCGCTCAAGCCAGGTTTTCACTACGACGCAAGCACAAGTGTAACGATCAAAATTTTTTGATACTTTTCCCTTCCAGCTGATCTGAGAAAGAAACGATAGCCAATCAAAATCCAAAAAATTTGCAAAACTGAGGTGTCATTTTTCCTTTTGGAAACACGGATTTTCAGGACACCAAATGGAAAAAATGACGTTGCTGATAAGCACTTGATAACAATGACACAATAATTAATGAGTTTTGTAATCTTTATGCAAAGGCTGGCATGTTTTTATTTTTCGCTGATCAATTTTCGCAGGCTTCATAACACCTCAGTTTTGCAGTGACGTCATTTCTACGTCACTACGTCACGATTTTTTTGCTTGCGTTTGTGCTGTGCTCGCTAATAGAACAAGGCTTCAGCGAAAACACACCATTCAATGAATTCTGCAAAATGGTTTAAAGTGATCAGTGGTTTAAAGTTTAGTACGTTCCTAGTAGTTACTTAATGGGCTCCCTGTGTCCCAGCTAGTACTTCTTATTCATACCTTTTTATACAGACATAATAGATAGAAAGTTGAATGAATAGAGTGCAAACAATATAACCGTGAAACTTTAAGTAATACTAAATAGCACAATTTCATGCAAATTCCATTGTTTTCTATTGTTTAATTAGCACTATTTTCGGTACTAATTAGTAATTAGTGCTTCACGGATTAATTGTTTGCACTCTAAAAGAAAGAAAATATAAAGGAATGTAATAACGGGATAAAGCACTAAATGACTGTATGGGACTATTCAGCAGCTAGCTAGAGCCAAGAGAGAATAAATATATCTATGCTCTCTTGTTAGAGCTGAAAACTAATAAAACTTTTAAAGTGTATATCAAGGAA